TCATCTCCTCTCCATTAATCCCCTTTTTTTTATTAACTTACCCTGCAACACAGTTTGACTTCAGGGCAAGAATAAAACAATTTTTATTTAAAAAAGTATTAAAATAAAATTTTTCTATTTTTCAGATTTGTATTTTCATACTCTCATAACAGAATAAAATAAAATGAGTCTTGCTGTTTTGGGTGAAGAATTAGTGTGTTTGTTCCCTCCTACTGCATGAGTGCCAAGCAGGATTCTCTGAGCATTTCTGTGAAATTCTGGTCAGCTTTATGGAAGCCAGGATTGTCCATCCCTAAGGGAGCAACTCTKAAATCCATCTTTGCTTTCCAATCCACCTTTGATCTCTTTTGACAGAAAACAGCTACAGAACTCTGTGGCTGCACAGTGGACTGAGAAAAAAAAAGATCATAATSAATTTTTTTTCCACAGTTTCACCTCTCGTGCCTTTGTTTTCTCAAAGGTAAAAGCTGCTCTTTTATCTCCCATTTCCAAATGTTGACATTAGCAAAATACGACATTTTTCTGCTGCAGAACCTCTTTGTAAATGGCTAATCCTCAAGCTGCCCTGTGCTGCCCCAAGTACCAATTTAGGAATGGGACATTACAAAAAAAATGGGGTCAAGCATTAAAATTGGGAACTCTGACACAACCAGTGATTTGTGTTGGCTCTGCACAGCAGTTTGGGTGCAAAGTCAATTCCAGCTCTGGTGCAGGGGATGGAAAATRTCCCCAAAGGGCGTTTTTGGAGCTGTGCACTTGTGGACACCTGACTCCACCATCCCTTGCACCCACCTTGAGCTCCTGCTCCCTCTGGACACCAGACCATGAGAGATCAGCTGTCCCTGTGTCCCTGCTGGGCTGGAAACAGCCCAGTCCACGCTGGGAACTCAGACACCACAAATTCATGTCTGGATATTGCTTCACAGCCCATCCCCCMGGCACTCTGCACATTTTCCCCCGTTTTCTTGGATATTTTTGTTATATCTGCTCCTTTCTATAAATCACACGTGTTCCGCTGCTGCTCTGGTGGGATCTGCAGAGCATCTGGGTCCCACACAGCCCGGGGATTCCTGCAAAGCCTCAGGAGGATCTCGGCTGGTATCTCATGAGCACGAGGTTATGGATTTGTGAGAGATGGAATCCCAGAATTCTGGGATGGTTTGGGTTGGAAGGACCTTAAAAAATCACCCAGTGCCACCCCTGCCATGGCAGG